ATTCCACCTTCTATCTTTACATATGGTAGTTTACATTTATACTGTTTATAGAATAGAATAGAATAGAATAGAATAGAATAGAATAGAATAGAATAACAGAATTGGAAGGGACCTTGGAGGTCTTCTAGTCCAACCCCCTGCTTAGGCAGGAAACCCTACACCACTTCAGACAAATGGTTATCCAACCACTTCTTAAAAATTTCCAGTGTTGGAGCATTTACAACTTCCGGAGGCAAGTTGTTCCGCTGGTTAATTGTTCTTACTGTCAGGAAATTTCTCCTTAGTTGTAAGTTGCTTCTCTCCTTGATTAGTTTCCACCCATTGCTTCTTCTACACTCAGGTGCTGTGGAGAATAGCTTGAGTCCCTCTTCTTTGTGGCAACCCCTAAAATATTGGAACCCTGCTATTGTGTCTCCCCTAGTCCTTCTTTTCATCAAACTAGACATACCCAGTTTCTTCATATGTTTTAGCCTCCAGTCCCCTAATCATCTTTGTTGCTCTTCTCTGCACTCTTTCGAGAGTATATAATCTGTGTCCTCCAAAGACTGCTATAAAGGGATCTTCAGAGGTCCCCAAAGTCAATCTGGGGGCCACAACAGCACTGTCAAAGTCCCACCCACCCGTCCCATTTCACTCTGTTTTGATTAAACAGTTTAAAGAAAAAGGAAGGAAGAAAGAGGCAAACATTGAAAAAATACTAATAAAGCACAGCGTTTTGAATATGCTTTAGCATAGAACTCCTGAGGGTAATGAAAATTTAAACCATAGCAGCAAACACTTAACAAGTGCTAGACATGAGTAGGTATTAAGAACAGTTATTATATCATATTTGTGGTCAAGCTTTAAGAGGAAGCTGGTCAGAGCAATTAAAACTAGCTCAGGTTGTGGCTTCACACAATGCCAGGTGGGAAGTTACAAAATGCACCCAGAAGAACTCAATGATGGCCAATTTCCTTATTTTTTGCTAACAAAACTTGATGGATGTATCCCTAAAAACATTGCAGAAATTCAGATTTTATCATAATTACACAATTGCAAAGTAGGTCTAGATTTATGCTTTTAATGATGGGGAAACATTATTTTGGCAACCCCCATCTCAGTGGCTCAGAAAAGCTAAGCAGGGTTGGATCAGATTGTTAAAATATTCATGACTGGGAGAGATATGGGAACAAGGTCAGCCAATGAATAGGCATAGCAACTAAGCCAGCCAAGGGAGCTTAAACAGATCTGAGTCTGTACAGAGAATTGAAACAGAAACTTAAGCAGTCTGCTGCTCTGAGAAGTAAACTAGCAGTCTGTCTGGGCTCGTCTGCTGAAATGAAACTAACTGCTTATGTTTGCCTGTAACTCTCCTGCCTTGTGTTAACTCGGAGGAATCACCTATTGGTATTGTACATTTATTCATCTATTCTTAATGAGTCCTTTTGCATCAGTTATCTGTGTGTGCTTCTGAATTTGAATTTGTGCAATGAACTCTGACATAGATTAGTGTTTGGACAGAGCACCACTAGGAAATCCCAAAAATAGGGGATTAGGAAGATTAGTAGATTAGGAAAATGAAGAAACAACCACAAGGGGGCAGTGACAAATTTTTCTAATGCATTTGCCAGGAAGATTCCACAAATATATCCATGAAGTCACCAGGCATTGGCCTTGACTGAGGGATGCTACCTTTCATCTTACACCTACGTAGACATGAGCTGTACATTTCTTGGGGAAAAAAGGAAACCAACAGATAAATTGGATTTTAAGAAGGGATTTAGGTGAAGTGATAGGATCGTGATGCACATTAAAACAGGTTCACACCCTTGTGGCTATCAGATCTGCCCCAATATGATTCCTTAGGAAAGAGAGACCCTCGATTCCATTTGGTTGAAGCGAAAAGGTTTTTTTACTAAAAGGATGTTGGCTGTACTAAAGTCAGACTAGCTCTGGGTTTCCCGCACTCAAAAGAGACAGGAAGGATTCTCCTCAGCCCAATCCTCCCTTTTGTGACGAGTCCATCTTCAGCCAATCAGAACACGCAAACGTGTTTTGAGAGCATCACCATCTGGAACTACCTGTAGACATCGCTGTTGAGAAGCCTGGCAGCACCTTTGCACACTAGCGAAGTTCATTTTAAAGGCAGCAGTTTATGTGAGACAGTTGTTAAGGGAGGTTTGCCCTATTTTATGACCATTTGTTGCCACAGTTGGTAGGTCAGTCATTGCAGCTGTTAAGTTATATCATGCTTGTTAAGCAAATCTGACTTCCCACTGAATTTGCTCATCAGAAGGTCAAAATAACTAAAATAACCCACATAATTTTAACCTGAAACTGTCTAGCATGGACCTCACCCCATTCCTAAGAGGTCCGTAAATGGGGTGTGCATAAATGCACCAGCTTGCCTACCGTCCCTGTCCTACTTTCCCCATTTATTTGTACCCATTTCCTGTGTTCTTATTCATATTTATTCTTATCCCTGTTATTTTGTATATGAATGAATGAATGAATGATGAATAAATAAATAAATATTCTCTGCAAGCCAGAGTCAATATGAATTGAAGCAAATGATGAACGTGAAGTCCTGATCCCATCCTCAAATTATGACCACAACTAAGCCCAAAAGTTCCGTTGCTAAGTGAAACATTTGTTAAGTGAAGTTTTTCCCTCTGTTTAACAACCTTTCTTGCCACAGTTGTTAAGTGAATCCTTGCCTTCGTTAAGTTAGTAACATGGGCGTTGAGTGAATCTGGCTTCCCCCATGGACTTCGCTTGTCAGGAGGTCACAAAAGGGGACCCCATGACGCCAGGACACTGCAACCGTTATAAATACGAGTCAGTTGCCAAGCATCCAAAATTTGATCATGTGACTCATGGGGATTGTAACTTCGAATGGCCACTAAATGAATGGTTGTAAGTTGAGAACTACCTGGAGCGGCTAGGAAAAAAGGTTGAAGGCTTTAGTTAGATGGCAGAAAGATTTACCCAAGGATCCATGATGCGATTGCACAAGATCACTCGGCCATTGTCCAGAGCGGTAGAATAGGGCTGGCAGGAGGCCACATCCTTAGTCAGCTGGAACAAAACAAAGGAATATTTTTTAAAAAATATTTTATTTATAGTTTTTTCTTTAACATCCATAAGTGCTTAGTGAACAGCGAATTGTCTGGGTCAATATACTTTATACACAGCACTAATAAGGATAGCATTATTTAGATATTCATATTCATAATCTTTCAACTTTTAACATTTGTGTATACATGGTAATTATAATGTATTTTATTATAAAAAAATATGTGGAGACTCTAGAAAGAATGCAAAGAAGAGCAACAAAGATGATTAGGGGACTAAAGGCTAAAATGTATGAAAAACAGTTGCAGGAACTGGGTATGTCTAGTTTAATAGAAAGAAGGACTAGGGGAGACATGATAGCAATGTTCTGATATCTCAGGGGTTGCCCCATAGAAGAGGGAGTCAAACTATTCTCCAAGGCACCTGAGGGTAGAACAAGAAGCAATGGGTGGAAACTAATCAAGGAGAGAAGCAACTTACAACTAAGGAAAAATTTCCTGACAGTAAGAACAATTAACCAGCGGAACAACTTGCCTCAGGAAGTTGTGAATGCCCCAACACTGGAAGTTTTTAAGAAAATGTTGGATAACCATTTGTCTGAAGTGGTGTAGGGTTTCCTGCCTCGGCAGGGGGTTGGACTAGAAGACCTCCAAGGTCCCTTCCGACTCTGTTATTCTATTCTGTTCTTCTATTCTATTCTATATATCAGTATACGTAATGCTATTTTCCCAATTTCTACTTTCTACTTCTTAATAACGTACCCATCATATTAAGAAGCATTCTATATCTACCCATCATCTCTTGCCCTTTTTAGAATTTCAACTCTTATTGACTTTTTGGTAATTCTTTCATGCTTCTCCCTTAGGAACTTGTAATTCCTTACATCACGTTTATTTAATCTGAGTATTTCATCTGCTTCAACACCTATCTCAACAAAGGGATACTTTTCCGTGACTGTGATTGTCGGTGATTTGCACACTGACTTTATACAATAATTCAATAGCAGAGTTGGAAGGGACCTTGGAGGTCTTCTAGTCCAACCCCCTGCCTAGGCAGGAAGCCCTATACTGTTTCAGACAAATGGCTATCCAGCATCTCCGTTATGTTGGCCTGCCTATGGCTTTTTGTCCCTCGTTGTATGAAATTATGCCCAGCAAGCAGGCAGCACCCAGATTGGTGCAGTGGCCTCGAGGTGGAGCTCTTGTCTCACAATCAGGAGAGCTGTCAGTTCGAGTCTAGATAAAGGCAGATATTTTTATCTCTGGGCATAATGAGAATATATCTGCTGGGAAAAAACACTCCGCATTGGTGACAGGAAAGGCATCGGGCTAGTAAGCACTCAGCTGCATTCAGTTGCCCAGATTCTGCCCCACAAGGGATTAAAAGAAGATGGAGCAGGCAGCACCCAGGCTACCTTGGTTAACCTAAGCCTGGTTGAGTCAATGTAGTATTTGGATGAGAGCCAGGAAGGGCAGGAGGGGCGTTTACACTGGGAAGTCCAACAGCCTCCCAGAAGAAGGCAATGGTCAGCCACATCCATACTTTGTCCAAGGAAATGGCATGGAACATGTGTGTAATCACTGCCCTGAGGGCACCATCATTCTGAGCCACTCCAAGATCTGTAAGGGAAGCAAGTTCTCACCGAAGTCCTCATCCAGTCCAGGTACTGGGAGATATACCCCAATTCTTTTCTTACAAAGCAGTCCAACTCCTGGAAGAAAAGGAAAATTGAGTTAAGAACAGATTTTGTAAAAGAATTTGTCAGAGAAGCCCATTGTCTCCTGCGATTTCTCTCCCTCTTGATACAACATCATCTAAGCCAAGGGGTGGGATGGAATGGGATGGGATGGGATAGGATAGAATAGACCTCCAAGGTCCCTTCCAGCCCTTTGATGCTATGATTCTTTGTCATTTCTATTTCTAGATTGAGGTGGCAAAAGAAACACAACTCTTGACATGCCAAAGGTGCTTTTTCAAGAGGCAACTGGTCTTTCTTGTTTTTTCTTTCCTTTGAAGATGTTTCTCATCCAAGAAGCTTGGGACAAACATGACTTGAATGATTGAGAATCTCCGTAGACATTTTGACCTGCCACTTTTCTAGACTATTCACGAATGCCACTCCTTTCCCCTTTCCTCCTTCTCTTTGCCTCTCCACCATGCTTTGTTCTTCCAGCCCCACCTTCCTTGAATTTCTTGTTTCAGAGGATGAGTTTTGTGGGAAGGGATGAAGGACAACTGAGGAACTGGATCAGAAATAGTGCCTAGTTCAGCCATAATTCTGTTTGCCATGGTGGGCCGTTGGGCGGCCCAGAATTGTTCATAAACAGGATTTTCCTCTCTTTTATTATTAGTATGCACCTCTCGGTGCATCCAGCATCTTGCAGAATCCAGGTCAATGAACATGTAATTACAGATGCGCGGCCCCGCTCTATCTACGTGTGCGTTTGTATATTCTCTAAACCAGAACCAGCCTTCATGTTGCTGCTCCCCAGATGTGTTGGCATGTATGGGAGTTGATTTCCTAGCAAACCTGGAGGATACCAGGTTGAGAAAGGCTCCTCCAGAATTATGGCAGAGGAAGACAGTGGTAGAGTATTTTGAGAGCAACTGAAGAGATCTGAGGATGTCTGTCAGTCCTTGAATAGCCCTGCGCTTGGGAACAACCTTTTGAGTTTACCTGTTTTCTTCCGGCTCACCTGTCTCAGAATCTTCTTTGTCTGTAAGGGGAGAATGGCCTCCACAAGGGTGATCTGGGACTCGGTATTGTTGAATTGAGCCTGGGGAGAGGCAGGAAGAAAAAGCAAGTTATTTGGCCGTCAAGGGAAGCCAGAAGAGCTCCTCCTGCTATCAAAGGAAGTGAGGACCTCTGAAAATGGCAGGTTTGCACTGAACTCCTCCACTCCACCATCTACTCCAGGACTGGTGGACACCATTAGAAGGCTGAGAGAGGAGGAGGAGGAGGAGGAG